TATATCCATTTTTTTTTTTTTTTGAGTTTCATGCTTCCAGTTCTCTTTAAAAGATGCAGATGTGTGGAGTTGAGTTGCCACTGGGCTTTCTCCTGTTCTGTAAGAGCTAGGATGGGGACCAAAGGCCTTGCTTGACCCATCCTCATCCTCAGAGCTCAGACTTGAGAAAAATCTTTATAGAGGTGGGGCTGGGTCAGGTGTCTGTGATTTAGATTCTGTATTCACCTTTATTGGCTTATCTTTTAGCATATTGTATAATAATGTTTTAAAGATATATGTACAAAGGACTTCAAAAATTCATGGAGAGATAGATTTAAAGTAGGAGCTTATTTTGGTGCAAAAATGTTTGAACTCCATGCATGGTTTTTTCATAATATACATTTCCCATGGATTTTTGAAGACCCTTTTACTTAAACTTATACTTTGTTTGTTTGTTTTTTTCTTTTCTCCCAGAGGTGTAGTAATTCTCCTTGAGATTGGACTACATGGCTTGATTCCTCTATGCCTCCTTCCTAGCACCTAGTCCAGTTTCTTGAGTAGTTCTTATGCTATGCTGTGATTCATGCTTTACCTAACACTTTGATAAATTCAACTGTGTTAGGCATGTGTTTGATGGTAAGAACAGCAAGGTGAAAGACAACTTTGGGAGGAAGTCTCTGCATCGTGCCCCTAAGGAAACTAAGATTTAAATAGCTCGTGGAGCACAAGGTCACACAGTTGGAAAATGGAAGACTCAGAATGCCATATACAATATCCATAAATTCAAATTCCAAATTGGCAAAGAAATCAAGCTTGAAGTTGGACTACAGAAAATTAATGAATTCAGACCTTTCTGAAAGAAAAACATAGTTATTTTTAATAGAATATAATACCTAAACGTCCTGAGATAGTTACTTATGAATGAACTGATGGCTGTAAGGCTATGATAGTTTCAAATTCAGATGTTGATCATCAACAGGTATTTTAAAGCAGAATGCTATGTGGTCAAAGACATAAGCTCTGCATATTGGGGGGAACCTTCAAAATGTTCATGAAAAAATGTGTATTATGGGAAAACTGCATGGATTTCAAAAGTTTTGCACCAAAATAAACTCAGACTTTAATTTCTTATTTTCATAATTGTTTAGAGTCTCCTTGTACAGTAAGACAAATACTTGGTTTTAATGCCTGTCCTACCACATATCAATATGGCACCCTTGTCAAATTACTCTTCACCTCAGTTTTATCAACTGTAGAATATGGATAACGATAGTCTGCCTCACAAGATTTTTGTAGCAATTAAAATTGGATATTTCACAGAAAATACCTAGAAGAGTTTAGCAAATGTGCTGAATATAACTAATTTTATTAATTATGTTATACTTAACTACTAATCTCAATTAATGAGACCACTACCTATCAAGTTATGCAAGCCAAAGTCCTAGGAGTTACACTCTCTGGGACTTCAGATGTACAGATGAGAACAGTGGGAAG